CGCCCAAAGTCTGGACACAGAACAAAGCTACAAACATACTTCGCCGCCCAAAGCCTGTACACATTACAAAACTATAGACGAACATACTTCTCCCGCCCAAAGTATGTACATGTTACAAAGCTATAGACGTTCTTACTTCTCCGTCCCAAGTCTAGACACATTACAAAGCAATAGACCTTCTTACTTCACCGACCCAAGTTTGTACACGTTACAAATTATAGACGTACCTACTTCTAAGCTAACTAACCAAGTAAAGGCGATAAACACACATTAAATTGCTCTCGCTGATTCGATTTTGCGGGAGACACATCACGTGTACATCTGTTCGATATTGTTACGGTAATACTAACTTCGCATGTTGCGTCACGTGAAAAAGCACACGACCACGGAATTTGGTAATACTGATAGTGAAAGGGGACTTAGGAGTATGCAGACATTTAAGACAGCGATGATAGAATTTTAAATCCTGACAAATACACGACAGGGAATTTGATGTTGATGATATTACTTTCATACTGTTCTAGCAATATTAATGACAAAATGGTTCTGTTATGCCGCCAAGAATATCAGTAATATAACTTATATACCCGGGTATTATAACTAACATGCTTGGTAATGTATTGCATAGCTGATGATATAAAGTATTGCCTATCATGAAACATATACGTATGTATCTAAAACGCTTTAAACGTAACGCATTCCCGATAAAGTACCCATTTTAATATGTCCCCGATAGTACCATATATGTGATAATGCAACGTTTACCTGATGAATCCACAATTTTTTATGTGTAAATGTAACATGTTGCATACCCGATCATTTATACCGTCATACTACATACCCGGTCATTTATACCGCCATACTACATACCCGGTCATTTATACCGCCATATACTACATACCCGGTCATTTATACCGCCATACTACATACCCGATCATTTATACCGCCATACTACATACCCGGTCATTTATACCGCCATACTACATACCCGATCATTTATACCGTCATACTACATACCCGGTCATTTATACCGCCATACTACATACCCGATCATTGATACCGCCACACTACATACCCGGTCATTGATACCGTCATACTACATACCCGGTCTTTGATACCGCCATACTACATACCCGATCATTTATACCGTCATACTACATACCCGATCATTTATACCGCCATACTACATACCCGGTCATTGAAACCGCCATACTACATACCTGGTCATTTATACCGCCATACTACATACCCGGTCATTGATACCGCCATACTACATACCCGATCATTTATACCGCCATACTACATACCCGATCATTTATACCGTCATACTACATACCCGATCATTGATACCGCCATACTACATACCCGATCATTGATACCGCCTTACTACATACCCGATCATTGATACCGCCATACTACATACCCGATCATTTATACCGCCATACTACATACCCGGTCATTGATACCGTCATACTACATACCCGGTCATTGATACCGTCATACTACATACCCTATCATTTATGTTATTCATTTATGTAATGTATGTTACCAGTAAAGTATACCCTATACCTGATGATGTAATACATACAACCTACAGTACTATGTATAACGTGTTACCGATAGTACAGCATATATAACCGGTAATGTATGCCTTATACCTGGTTATGTAATATATGCTGATATCAAGATGTCTTGTTGTTTTAGTCAGGGTGTCATAAATTTCATTTTCTTGGACATTGTAACGATATTTAAGTTTTTTGCTATTGTTTTTAAAAAATCTCCAATTAGTTATTATCACTCAAAAGAGTTATGACAGATCACTACAGCAATGCTCGCGCTGTCGCCTTGATCTTGTATCCAGTTTATTTCGGTGTCGGACGTGGAATTTGGCAACATATACGCATTCGAACAAACAATTCTACCAAAAAAAGTCGATTTTACAGTCAAGGAAACATTGCTCTAAATAAGTATGGGTTCCCATCCGTGTTTGAAAAGCAGATTTAGTGACTGGGGAATGGTGTCGTGTTAGGAGCTATTATTGCCATTTATGTCACTATAGCTTTCTCAATCATTAGGTCGTTTTACCTTAGCGAGCTATGGAGACTTTAACATTCTAATACACTACCGTGTGCCTGAAATCAATGCCAGTCGACAGTCATTGCTTTGCATTTGGTCGATATAATACCGAAATATGAGGATGCTTTCTGATTCCATGAGCTTTCGTGCAGATGTCTGTAGGGTGGCATGGAGCAAAACACTTGCATATTATTGGTCTTGAGTTCGTCATTTAGTTGTCTTGGTTTTCCTCGCGGATGTGTGTGGTGCTGTCGCTTTGTCGCAAGATCAGTAGCCTAATAGCATCTGATCTAGCTACCGTCTGCCTGTCAACTTGTATTAATGGACATTTAGGTTTTGACTAATTACAGCTTCAATCGGGGACAAATTAAAACTTCGTTTAGCTGCTGCATTGTCTAATGCTAAATAAAGTAATAGCACCTCCGTAGAACTTTCCTTGTAAATTGACGATGACGTTGTACTCTACCAGGAACTGACTAGTTGTCCCAGAACGGACAACTACGGTTCGCATAGCGCAAGGAAAAGATCGATACAAAGAAAAATCAACACATATCAAATGCCTGTATTTTGTTTTATTTCTTAAAATTGTGTTGAGATTCTGTTTCAATAAAAATGTGTTATGTCCACTCGCATTCTTCAACGACATCTACAGCCACAACATACACACACGTGTACTACTGTTTCCGTGCAGGCACGTGTGTACAATACCAGTACAGATACCTGTAATGGTACACACATGTATAAAACCAGTACGTTTAAAAGCCTGTACAACTTCCGCCTACAGGCTTATCTGTACTAGTGTGACCGTCCAGGCACGCTTGTACAACACCTGCACAGAAACTGTACAAATGCACACATGCACAACACATGTACAGACACACGCACGATATCCTATCATTGAGGACACTGACATAAAATTAGTAAATTAACTTGTAAATACTAAATTATCCAAGATTATCAATATATCCATGCTACTGACTAGTCGGGAACATAATTTGTACTTTGCATGAACAACAAACTTCCAATGGACATCAGACTGTTCCTTGCCGGTTCAAAGCTTGGAAACCATTTTCTTTGTGAGCAACCCATGGAAATCGACTGCACGTTCTGACTAAAGCCTAGTTGCTAGGTAAATATCGAAAGTAAGACATCTATAAATAAATAAACGTTGACATCAGCAATGACAGATAAACATCGATTTTATCCCGATATTGATAAATTCGTACTTAACAGTGACATTTAAAAGTGTTTCAGAGGTTCTCAGACAACAAGAAGACCTATTATAATGTCGATAAAGAAAGACATGACATAATCACCCTAGAGAGCAGGAACCTGGGCCCCGGATGTGTACGTACTACACCAATTTTCATCTATAACATTGCTTCCATACACTTCTGTAGTCAATTACTTTCCCTTGTAAGGCCATAAATGCAAACTCCTACCCTCGTAAGGTCATATATACAAACTCCTAACCTCGTAAGGTCATAGGTACAAACCCCTACCCTTGTAAGGTCATAGGTACAAACCCCTACCCTCGTAAGGTCATATATACAAACTCCTACCCTCGTAAGGTCATAGGTACAAACCCCTACCCTCGTAAGGTCATGCATACAAACTCCTACCCTCGTAAGATCATAGATACAAATTCCTACCCTCGTAAGGACATAGATGCAAACTCCTACCCTCGCAAGGTCATGGGAAAAAAAGCCTAACCTCGTAAGGTAATAAATACAAACTCCTACCCTCGTAAGGTCATAGATACAAACTCCTACCCTCGTAAGGACATAGATGTAACTCCCTACCCTCACAAGGTCATGGGTACAAACTCATACCCTCGTAAGGTCATAGATACAAACTCCTGCCCTCGTAAGGACATGGGTACAAACTCCTACCCACGTAAGGTCATGGGTACAAACGCCTACCCTCATAACGACATGGGTACAAACTCCTACCCTCATAACGACATGGGTACAAACTCCTACCCTCGTAAGGTCATAGATACAAACTCCTACCCTCGTAAGGACATATATGCAAACTCCTACACTCGCAAGGTCATGGGTACAAACTCCTTCCCTCGTAAGGTCATAGATACAAACTTCTACCCTCGTAAGGACATGGGTACAAACTCCTTCCCTCGTAAGGAATAGTTCAAATTCATACCCTCGTAAGGTCATGCATACAAACCCCTACCCTCGTAAGGTCATAGGCACAAACTCCTTCTCTCCTAAGATCATAAATACAAACTCCTACCCTCGATAGGTCATTGATACAAACTCCTACCCTCATAACGACATGGGTACAAACTCCTACCCTCGTAAGGGCATAGATGCAAACTCCTACCTCGCAAGGTCTTGGGTACAAACTCCTACCCTCGTAAGGTCATAGATACAAACTCCTACCCTCGTAAGGACATGGGTTGAAACTCCTACCCTCGTAAGGTCATAGATACAAACTCCTACCCTCGTAAGGACATGGGTACAAACTCCTACCCTCGTAAGGTCATGGATACAAACTCCTACCCTCGCAAGGTCATGTGTACAAACTCCTACCCTCGTAAGGTCATAGGTACAAACTCCTTCTATCCAAAGATCATGGGTACAAACTCCTATCCTGGTAAGGTCATGGGTACAAATTCCTTCCCTCGGAAGGACATGGGTACAATTTCCTACTCTGGTAAAGTCATGGGTACAGGATACTAACGTCTTCTAACCATGAACACCAACTCTTACTCCAATCTAGATAAACAGGAATTAAAATAACAGCTGCCACCCAAATGGTCACGAACAAAAGGGCAGCATCTCTCACAGGAATACTTAACACAAAGTCCGCATTAGTTGATGTATTGTATCTATCACCTTTCGGCGAAAAATAAAATGTTAATGACGATTACAACGATACATAGTTGAAATCTTATCTTTGTGCTGTTCTACCATGGGATAGAACACCATTATAATGGAATGTATAGAGATGTTAGTGTTAAACAAATCGACGGTCAACACGACCTGCCAGTACTGAAAGCTCCAGAGACATCTAATACACCACACTGTTAGGTTTGAGGCATGAATTAACAGATACAATATTAGTTATCTTAAACAGCTATATTGAAAATGTTAATATAAAGAAGAGCAGTTATAACTACCGGAAGTCGGCTGTACCGAGAAGATTTATTGTTGTAAGTAAGTATGATACTTTTATGAGCTGATGATAATTGTAAACCATACACACCGCAAGTATAGTGAATTATCGCCCCCTTATATGTAAGTTTCAATTTTTAAAAGGTAGCCACGACACAAACCATATATATATATATATATATATATACTAAGTAGTAACACACATAACGATGGGAGTACGGACCAGAAGACTGACTGAATCACGAGGTCCATACTCACCTATACTGTTACAGTCCCGAGGGAATATCTGTCTACTTATCCGTAAAATAGTTAGTAGGACCCGTTTTGTTCTCAACACACTCTCATATCGACCTATGGTAGGTTTGCATTGATAGAACAATAGCTCGTAATTTAAAAATTAGATTTTAATTAAAAGAACAAAATAATCTACAAAAAATACCCGGTTATTTTATCAAGCTCCACAAGGATGTTTTATTGAAAGTATTGGATAAACATGCAGGTCTTTAAGAATGCTCAGATTAGGAAATTTTGTGAATTTGACAATTTTGTAAAGAAAACGTACTATGAAGGAGAGAAAAAATCTGTTTCTTTCAGTTGATTTAAAGAAAAGCGTGGAATTCTGACATCCATCCTCACGAAAACCACATTGGCAGATAACAATCAACACCCGTACGGACTTCATGAAATAGGATTTTATCTGCTAAATCTTCTTGTGCTTTCAGTAGAAAATGTTCTTAGCCTCTGTTTTGCCCGTCTTATTTCTCAGCCATTAAATGTTATGATTACGTCAAGATTGAAACAATTGTTGAAAATCGTTGTTCAGAAATATTGAAGAGGTACCATTTACTACACTACAAAAATTCACAACCTTCACCGACTCGGGAAACTACGTCATCATTTTTTGTGTATAAATATTTGATAAAAACAATGAGCAAATCAGGGGTGTGGAAAACATGAAGAATGGGAATGTAACAAGAAAACACATGAAAAGAACAAATAATCAAAGATTGTCGTATAGATATGTAAACATGACGATCACAAAACGTTACAGTTACAGCTTAGTGAACACATATGGAAACCTCAGTCAATATCACATTATAATATCTGTTTCAAGAACAAAAATGTCCTTTGGGATTTCACAGAAAAATACATTTGCTACGAACTTGGACATTATATATATATATATATATTAATTATTTACACCCCAAAATACACTAGAAAGATCATCCTGAGAACACCACACTCCCTAATGGGGTTACTAGTGCATAGCGCTTCAATGGGCCAAATTACCACTGCCCACCAGCCCTGATACTCCAGCTGGTAGCTGGCTACACGGAAGGCACATGGTCAAACTTGGAGTGAATATATACTGGCATGAAATAAGAAAACTGTACACAGGTTCCACTAATGAAGGGTCGACCTTCCTAACATTGTGTACATACACGGATAAGGTCAATATTTGTGACGGATGTATACGGTACGAGGGTTCTCTAGTGTTGACCATGTACCTTCTCAAAAAAATGTGTCTTCTTTTTTCATGTACCACACGTCACTTCCGGTCGATACATATTTTCCTCGTTCCCAGCACTCCGTAGCATAAACATTATGAGAATGATACACTTCGCGGACGTATTTGAAAGGTGCGTAACCCTGCTTGTTTCGACAATGTCACAACGTAGACAGATTTGGTGACCCAAACTCCTTCTCTAATAATCCAACTGGTACCCAACACACTTACGATTGCTGAACATACACCACATCCAGAACAAAATACTCCCACAGCTGCGCGCACGAGTTTGCAACGGCATATATGTCGTCGTTGTATACCAAATATCCCCATAGTAAAACCTGACAATACACTTTAGTGTAAGATATAGCGTTAGTCCAGCACAAGACAAGTGGTCATGTTTTCCCGGAGGTATAGGTACACCTCTTTGGTGGCACTGGGACAGTTGGTCAGTTCCAGTTCCTCGAGGTTTCGCAGCTGTGTGAGACCACATAGGCCCTGACTGGACACCAAAGTGCAACCTGAAATAAATCAAGGACAGGTCTCATTATCAAAGTTTTATGGAGTGTAGTTTACAGGACGTGCGTATATACAATTGTACACGATTTGGTCAATCAAAGCTATTTTTAATGCTTACTAACCGTTTCAACTTTCAAAATTGGCTATTATACAGAGGTGACAGGTTCCGTCAATTATAATGTTGTTTTTGAAAATATCAAACTTGCAATAACTATGTGAACATCATGGTGTCGGTTTAATACCAGCACAACTATATGATGATGGTTGGTGTCGGTTTAATACCAGCACAACTATATGATGGTGGTTAAGTCTACAATATCTACAGGAAAGACAAGTGTGTGTGTCGGCGAATTGCCCTGCGAGGAGAATTAAAAGGACAAAAAAAATCTCCATGATGGCCAGGAATGGATTTAGACCGAGCCGACGGCCACTTATTGATCAGCTTTGCCAGAACAAAGTCCCAAGAAAGCATGTCTGACAATAACAAGAGTTTATCTCATGGGAAGCCATGTTATTGTCTTTCCTGAGACAATGAAAAGTATAGTGTCTTTCTTGCTTTCTAGCCATATATAAGAACTCAGTTCATTGACGTAGTTTTTTACGACAACAAGCTTTAATTATAGGATTCTCTTGTTCGCATTGGCAAAAACTTAATGTTTAAGGATGTCACTGTTCGCACTTTACAATTTGTTGTCGCAATGCCAACTGACGATGATGTCACCGAGGTAAATATAGAACAAGATGAACTTCAAATCACGAAGTTTCAGTCGATTTTGGTAGAAATTGGTGAGAGAATGACAAGGTAGTTTTTAACCAATGGAAGGACTTGAGTTTAACAATTGACGAGAGGAATAATTGCCTTCATCAGCGCCGTATTTATCATAACATCATGATATATTTGAATATATTACACATGCAAGGCAACGCCATGATTACAGGTACGATAAATAGCGTCCAGCTTGTTACCATGACAACGTCGTTGTGAGCATAGAAATGGCGGTTTATCAACAAAATGGTTATTTTACTGCCGATCTTTCTTTGTTTTTTGTTTTTAGTTTAGTTTTTTCCTACTTTAAATCAAATTATAATCGGCCTAATGGAACAGATCTACTTGAAAATGTAATTTATACAAACAATGAACTATCTCGTTAGGGTGCTGGTGTTTTCATGTTTATATAAACATAGCAGCTGTTTCCAAACAAACATAGAGATAGTGCACAATTTAACGTCAATAGTAAGACAAGCGTCTGATCACGTGGCTGCTCTACATGTGTCCAATAATTACAAAACATGTTATCGTCGATACCTTATAAGTACATGTATTTTATGACACAGTTCAACCACAGTACACCACGTGTCCACAAATACAGCACAGTACTGTCAGACAGTACAAAACGTGCCCACTAGGTACACAACACAGTACTGTCAGACAGTACAACACGTGCCCACTAGGCACACAACACAGTACAGTCAGACAGTACAACACGTGTCCACAAAGTAAACAACACAGTACAGTCAGACAGTACAACACGTGTCCACAAAGTAAACAACACAGTACTGTCAGACAGTACAACACGTGCCCACTCGGTACACAACAATAGCATAGCTAGACAGTACATCACGTGCCCACAAAGTAAACAACACAGTACTGTCAGACGGTACAACACGTGTCCACTAGGTACACAACACAGTACAGTCAGACAGTACAACACGTTCCCACTAGGTACACAACACAGTACATTCAGACAGTACAACACGTGTCCACAAAGTAAACAACACAGTACTGTCAGACAGTACAACACGTGCCCACTAGGTACACAACACAGTACAGTCAGACAGTACAACACGTGTCCACAAAGTAAACAACACAGTACAGTCAGACAGTACAACACGTGTCCACAAAGTAAACAACACAGTACTGTCAGACAGTACAACACGTGCCCACTCGGTACACAACAATAGCATAGCTAGACAGTACATCACGTGCCCACAAAGTAAACAACACAGTACTGTCAGACGGTACAACACGTGTCCACTAGGTACACAACACAGTACAGTCAGACAGTACAACACGTGCCCACTAGGTACACAACACAGTACATTCAGACAGTACAACACGTGTCCACAAAGTAAACAACACAGTACTGTCAGACAGTACAACACGTGCCCACTAGGTACACAACACAGTACTGTCAGACAGTACAACACGTGCCCACTTGGTACACAACACAGTACTGTCAGACAGTACAACACGTGCCAACTAGGTACACAACAATACAGTACTGTCAGACAGTACAACACGTGCCAACTAGGTACACAACACAGTACTGTCAGACAGTACAACACGTGCCCACTAAGTACACAACACAGTACTGTCAGACAGTACAACACGTGCCCACTAGGTACACAACAACACAGTTCCGTAACACTGTACAACACAGTCATGTCAGACTGAACAACACGTTCCAAATAAACACACATCACAGTCACGTCAGACTGTACAACACATGTCCTATAAACACACTAAAACACATACCCACCAGACTTTACAACACGTGCCCTATAAACACACAACAACACAGATCGGTCAGATTGTACAACACGTGTCCTATAAACACACTAAAACACATACCCACCAGACTTTACAACACGTGCCCTATAAACACACAACAACACAGATCGGTCAGACTGTACAATATATGTCCAACTCAGTGTCTAAACCTATAGAAGATTTAAGTGGTGATTAAAGGGTCAGTTACTAGCAGGACAACAAATTGGATGTTAAATGGATCCAGTTGGCTATTGATTTCGTGGCACGCGTGAGATGAGAACTAAAACTCAACTGATGTCTACGGAAGTTTGTGATATATTTAGTACCTACGACATTCCTATACTACTACTATGTATTTCTTTATTCCGTTGTTGCTATTGTTGATTAATCTGTATTTGTGGAACCGTGATCTCGAGATTTTCTTTTGTGTTGGACCTGTCATTTTTAGCCTCCGTGTTGCACCTCTATAAGCGCGATGAGTCAAAGGCCACGGCTCGCTCCTAGCGCACACCCATACCTTGTCGAATCGATAGGATTCCTAGCTCAATCGCTATACAATGTATAGATTCCGTCTATTTTTGTTGTGCCCTCGTGCAAGAATAGGAAAATTACAAGTATGATGTAGAAGCGGTTTGCTGGCTGATCTGTGTAGTTAGGTCTAGAATAGAAATAAGTATAGACCTGTAAGACCAACTAATACCTTTACTAACCATCAATGATATTTGTTCACAAGTTAAGAAGGAGTCGTCTGGACATGATACGTCCAATTACATACAGTCTTCTTTTGGTTACTATGGCAACCACGTGACAACCGATGTCTTTGAAAAATTATACCACTGGATTAGACATACTTCAAATCTTTTATAAAACAATTTTACGCTTAATTGAATAATGTATAAATTCTAACCAATTAGAAGCCTTCAACTGCATTTGCATAGTTATGGTTTTGGAAACGCCAAATGTGTCAAATTAAAGGCATCATTTTACGCTATTGTGCTTGAATAAAGTTGATTAAAGAGCTGATGAGCTATGGCCTCAATACGTGTATATATTTATCAGGTTACCATGGCAACCAAAGTTTCCACAAAGGAAACTAACTTATACACATTCATATAATTCCAAATTTTCCTGGGTAATTTCATTAAAATTTGTCAATAAGTTAAGGAGTGGCAATGCAATTTGAGGCATTCTTCGTTACCTTGGTAACTTAATGACAACAGCTGTTTTGGGAATTAGTGTGATTTTATTTGCCATTCCGAAAGAAATATACACCAGTTTTCAACTGAATCGGACTCTATCTCAATTCCAATCAATTAGAAGCCTCTATTATGTTTCCATAGTTTTTTTTAAAACTCTTTATGTGTCAGACTGAATGGTTTTGATTCGATACGCCATTTGATTAAAATTGAGGTAAGGACTGAGTTAAGGGTCCTTGTGCCCCGAAAACGGTGTGTTATTTTGTGTGTTACCTGTGTAACCAGGTTATCATGACAAACAAAATCGAAAAAAAATTAATAAATAAATAGATCAATAAGCTCCCATCGAAACATCTCCATATGGCCCCTAATAATTTTGTGTAATTCAGTTGGAAATAGTTCACAAGTCAAGGATGAGTAGTCCGAATGTTTTTTTTTTCTACAGACAGACACGCAGACTAGCTAATTCCCGGGGGTAGACATTTAAGTGAAATTTTCTGGGCCTCAGTGTTCCTTACAAATGAATCGTGTCAGTTTGTTATAACTTCCACCTCTATGCTCCCGGTAATCGTTGCACTATCTGAAAATGATTAAATCCACGATTTTTTGCTCATGTCACACATCAAAATCAACAAGGGACCCCAGGGCATCTTGGCGCCTGCCACTGTGTGATCTTTATTAGTTCTTCAGTTGTAGAATATTTTCCCTTCCTAGCTCTTCCTGTTCTTTTGACAGGTTAACAAAACATGTAATAATATCAATAAACAAAGGAAACCTAAATACATATTTTTAAAACATTTTTTGAAATAGAGCTCAACTAAGAACAAACTGGAAAATAAAATTGAATTTTTAGATTTCTAAAGCAATAACAATGACTAGTCTGACTGAAAATGGAATGGATATCGATAACAAACTTTTTATTGTCGAAATCAAAGATGGCCTCCTGTCAGGCAAGACGTCTTTCTAACCAATCGTCAGAATTAATGTTCAAGAGGAACGTATATATGAAATATAAGAACATCTTTCCTGTGCTCTTCAGGAAATAACAACACATGGAAAATTAGCATAAAGTGATGGATATCATTTTACCACGAAAGGCAGCAAATACGTAGGTAAAGAATAATTTACATACCAAAGTGGTAATTATCAAACGAGATCAGGGCAACTTAACACAAAGATCGATATTTTCTTTTTACCTCAGAGAAATGTACTACTTCCTAGACGTGTGGACTACTTGTTTGTACTGTATGAGGCATGTGGAATACATGTATCCTACAGAGGAGGGGACTCTTTATCTGTTGTATATGTACACGTATGTCCATGGGGTCCCACGTACTTGATATGCCACTTGAGTAATTTGGTTAACAAAATCATAAACAAAAAAACCAATGGCGTTAGATGCGTGCTTCCTGTGCACATGGTGATTAAAACACCCTCGTTTTCATTTATTGGCGATGACGACAAAAATATTACAGGCAAGAAGTACAATAACACGACCTTACTGTTCCATTGAAAATATTCAATAATCCTGTTTAATTCTTTATAGTTATTCTTCACTAACTCTCTTTGATGAAATGAAATCTACTATCGTTGCCCAGATCTATTTCTCAGGGGCCATATTTGTGTTTTTATCATGTTCCCTAGAACAAAAGAGCGAAACTTTAGAGGGGGATTTTTTAGCTGTGCTCGAACCAACAGGAACGTGTCGCCCAAAGTAACCCTTGGTGTCCATTCATTGGTATCAAATGTCCGTTATCGTCTTTCGTAATTCTTTGCTATGAATAGAGTTATTCACGTATCGTGACGTGATGGTCAATTTGTGATGACTTATTCCAATACAGTTCACAAACAAGCGACTATTGGTTTGCTGGTGTGTAATCCTGAACATTAAATTACATTAAATAACAACATCGTTAGCGTCCACATTATCGCCATCACACAGGAGCAGATGTAGACACCGAGCACAAAGGTGGAAAAAGTGCTGACATCAAGGACATGTTCTAGGATACACTCCACTATAGTATATAACAGTTTTAACTGACACTAGGACAAATTTAGGGCATTTCTTTCCGAACCCACATTACACGTGAACATTTCCTTGCCATATATGCTTACTTTAAAAATTTTATTTTACTATTGTTATTCACGTCAGGTTTCACATCATGTATGTTTGTGGAGAGGAGATGATATAGTTGGTGATGTATGTAGTAAGGGAGAAGGCATAACCATGAAAAAATATGGTTTGATTTTTCGTTTCCGTTCCATTTCTTTCTTTCCTTCTTCTTACTTTAGACTTCCATTAGCATGTTGTTTATCTACACAGTAGTTTTTTCATGTATACTTAAACGCAAAAAGACACACCAATTCTATCCCTACACTTGGCTTTGCATTTAGCATACAACAAAAATAAAACACATCTGAACATGAAGCGGGCTTCCGGCGCTTTGTTCCAAGTGTAAACCAAATTAAGCAGGTTCCAAAGAAAGACACCGGAATCTCTGATATCTCTCTTGAGGGTCATATTGTACCTGCTGCTCGAATTGAATGCTCATAAGAGGCAGCTTAACTTGAAATATTTACATTTTCTCCTTTTCTTTAAAAAGATATTGCTCCTTCTTAATGTTCCCCTCGGTACTGCCTCATTTTAAGCCATTAGTTGAGCGTTCGCCCCTATGAGGAAGGCTTTGGGTCCTTTGGCCGAAACATAAGAGATTCTTTAACTAACGTTAGTAGTTTCTATTCCCACGTTAAGTAATTTTGTATTGTAACGAATCAGTTGCCCGTTTATATCTTGCTGTGATTGGGTAGGGTGTCCTGATGCCAGTTGGCTTGGGCCGTATACTTAATGCGTTAGCAATGTAAAGTCGGCTTCAGTTCAGCACTTTAACAACGCACGGAGGCTTACATAAACATATCAACTATAGTTGTTGATAAGACGCTAAACACTATAAAACCAAATCAAACCTTTTACCTGTATCAGTTGTACATACCTGCCAGAGAAAGCACTCGTAGATTCCGCATTGAATACATATGTTGCAGCCCAAAGTCTCGTATCTGTGTGCACCACCGTAGGTAGAGTCGTAGTAGCGACGTCATTGTGGACAGGTAACCCACGCCTATGTCCGTCACGTGAGAACACCTACAAAATATGAATAGAAATAGTAGGTATCTGTTGTTCGATACGATTGTAATGTGTGTTAATGTATTTTTTAATTGGGTTTATCGCTGGTGAACAAACTAGTAATTTTCAGTCGGGACTTTTTAATAAAGCCGATTGCTATCTAATTCAATATCATACCGCAAGACTGTCGCAAGCTTTCCTTGGCAATTTGGGTACAGTGTCTTGTTCAAGGACACAACAACGACACCACAGAATGGTTCATGGTCCCAGCTTCATAAGAAACACAAAGCGCCCTTTGTTATTGTCGAACCACACACTGCGGACCTTCATCTAAGGTTCCAATGTGTGTTCTTTTGCGAGAATGTCTGATTTTTCAGGCTTATGCAGTAATGCTGTTTTATCTGAAGTCTAGACGTTGAAACAGTACCTTTTCCTCGTTTCTCAGTTAAAAAAATATAGAGCAACATCGCATTCCTCCATTGTACCCCAACTCCCCCAACTCATCACATTGACCTTGAACTTATAACCTTGAAACATATTCATTCGATGTACTGTCATAGTTCGTTTGAAAAGTTTATGAAAATCCCCGAGAAAAGATTTATTGATTCGGGACAAGATCGCTAACGTCGAACTTGTACAGAGCTTGTAAATAAATAGCCTGCAACCTCCTCTGATATCGTTCTCGCGGTTCTCGTGTTTAAGTCATTTGCAGTTATGCGTTTGCAATAATTCTTACAAGCACGTGAACGACATTTGTTTGATGTGTTTGTAAGTATCTAGCCTTGGTCTGTAGAGCGGTACGTAAACCTAATCATTATTTAACTTTTTTTTCTCTCCGACACCATTCGTGTTATCACCCAGTGCAACTCCTTTATGTACGACTGTGTACCGGTATATTGATTCGAGTTCACATCTAACATTTCTGATATAGTGACAGAAAGGTAATATGAAACAATGGTTTGTCTGATATACTGTAACCGATCGTACTACCCGACCCGGAAGCAGAAACATATACCTATTTCCCGAACCGATTGCGTGCTGACATGTCCGCCTTTGTAGACAGTCTGGCTGCCCGGCATCAACACTTTACATCAAACACGCGTTAAACATGACTGATTAGACAATAGTTCGATGCTGATTATGCAGCAGTTTTGGTGTAATTGGTTTGATTATGTATATAACCACATGTACTTTCGGGAAACAACTTTTTTTTACCGTTCACAATTCATGATTCAAGCAAAACAAATATACTTGTTTAATTCATCAGACTAAGATGGTTTCATATCTTTACAGAAGTTTGAAAGTCGATTGAAAAAGTCGTAATTCAGTTGTCCTTATGATGTCCGTTGGTCGCTGAAAAGAAGTTTTCTCCATTCTTCCTGCAGGTATAACAGACTCATCATAGGCCTACAATGTATTCTCTCTTGTTAAGATTGTGCCTTTTTGACGATTTCATTCAATCGTTGTATTTTAGAATCGGAAAGATCTCACCCGTTTATTGTTCTTGTCGTTACGGCTTATAATATCGTCTCTAGAAGATTAGATGGTTTAATTTCTCCCCACTAACACGTTTACGCAGCTGATCTCGCTTCAAAACGCACGGCTACATCCCGATTTGTGTATGATGCCATTTAATAGTCTGTGGTGAAATGTGTGTACTAGTATTGGAAAACCTAACCAACGCTATCAATAATTCATAACGTTGTATATTTCTCGACAAATTTGATCTACTGCTGAACACAGAGAGAGAGGATACGCAAATAGATGTGTGTGTATAATAGGTCTATCGTCAGGCAGATGGGTTACCGGGTAAAGATACACCACAGTGTAGTTCTAGACGTTTTCATCAACAGATTTAAAATGTTCATTATTGTAATATGAGTAATTACGCGTGCTCCAATACTGCCGCAGAATGATCGGTCTACCTTCTAGAGCATTGACCACTTCACACCAACAATTAATTAAATTTGGTCCGTGATTAAGGAGGAGGTTTGATCGTCTGACACGTAACATCCGTCCATGTTGTCATCCGCGAAGACCAGACCAGTGCTAAAGTATGACCGCGTCAGTTGCTGATTGAGATGTATCATGACACCCCAATCCCTAATACCTCCTGGCTGATTGGATTCAACTCCTTAAAACAATTTGCGTAGATATTGCTACAGCTCCATTGTCAGCGGTGACCTTGACCGAAGAAATTCCATTTGTATCGATCAGGCTCGGCCTGAGAAAGAAGAGCCAGCTCTCCGTATCCCAGGAGACGCCACGTGCGCTAAAGGAACATGCCCTTACAAACTGCTTTCCTCCTTTACAATATCCTGTCGGATCTAAACATCGTCTGTCTTGTTCCTTGTGCTGGTTGGTGGATAACTGGATATGGAGAAGATTGGCAGTAATTTGTGTCCCCAAGACGCCTTTGTTTCTTATTTATAACAGACACTGGCTATAAATAGATTGCCTCGTTAATAATCGTTATCGCCTGAAGATCACTGATGTGTGTGATTGTAAAGGAAAAACAATTAACAAGCCTAGAAATAGAAATGATGCGAATATTTACCACCTTACTTGCTTTCTGTCCTTATCTGTTACAAATGAACGACATACAATAAACAGAAGATATCACGCGACACTAGATCTTTCAGATCTTTCATCTAAACGAGCATAGAAATATTAACATTATCATTATCCGCGAAAACGGAGTTCACGGATTTATTTGATTTATTCAATTGGTTTTTTCGTAAATTATTATAGCCTTCCGGCGTCTGGTCACGGAAAAATTGTACACATAGCTAGCAGTAGGATTGTGATCACTGACAAGGGTTGAGACTAGAGCCAACTATACCATGTATACTGGACCATATATTAAGATTGACAATTGTCATTTTCTGTGCCACAACTCACGACAACATCGATTATAAGCCCCTGGTGTTTTACATCTGATGTTACATACATGTTTTGCAGTACCAGCAGCTTCTGTATGTTGACTTCAGCACTGATGACAAACACATTGTGCAACACGTCATGGTCAATCGAGCACCAACACTGTATGCTAGCATACTAGTTATGACAAGCGCGCGATGGACAGATGGATTACACACATTGAAGAGACAAAACACACCACTAGTGGATTTTCCGGCAGGAAACCGCCTCCACATTGCAATACGGGTCATGGTACTTTGTTGTGAATTCCAAGACGAGAGATAGCTATTCAGGCACCGCCGTTGTAACGAGAATTCCTTCACGGAATGTGTGAAAACAGGTTAACTCTAAAAATGAGCTGCAATTTATCACATAAACTATTATAGGTCTACTCCACCATGACAGATACGTCAACAAGACGGGGTGTGGGGGAGAGATCCCGTGAATTATGAGGTGTCGTTAAAGAGGTTCGGTGCTTAGGAATTTCTCTTTACCGTTTCCCTTTCTTTCCTCAATGCGTGATACATCAACAAACCAAAACAAGCCAATCGTTTGTTTTACACATGGTCTATTTTGTCAGACGATTTTGGTGTTTAAGCGGTGATACTGAAATGTTTTGACTTCCCAAAAATATTGAAGAGACTGACGAGAAACTCGTCTTTCGTAGCTAAACATTAATAAAAAAGACACATTGTCCAATAGGAAACACCGATCCCCTGAAGAGACATTTCCCATACTGTAAGTGGTCCATACCTGTCGTATGGACAGGTATACGATGTATTCAACCCAATGTTCTAGTTCGTTTCTCTATGTATTACATTACAGTCCACATCAGTCTGATGAATCTGATGTTGGTTACTAATTTGCCTGTAGTGCAACCATTTCATTTTGTACATCTGTTGTCTATCTAGATTCCGACAGTTCTTTACTTATGGCAAAATCTTAAAATACGCATTATACCGACTTTTATCGTCTTTTGAATTTTGTATTCCGAGGAAGTAATATGTAATCGTGAAACAGGAGAATTTGAGGTTAGTTCTGTAATGAAATTAGGATTTTCAAGTCTTATTGGCCATGATGTGGACTAATCTGCGTCAACCGACCACGTGACCTCTGTACCAACACCTTAGTGACGGGGGCTACTTCCTTGTCCTAAATCGATGAGTCAATGTTTTTGATACACGAACACCATAATCGATAAAAACTAATGCGATCAGCTTGGCTCTTCAACAGTTTCTGCAAAGATTGATAGCCTGGCCACGTCACCGAAGGGGTCATGGCGCGTGAAACCCGTTGTGATGTGACCTTTGGACTCTGTCAATCCGGTGTGGTCGTATGTCTAAAGCACCCACGTTATATTGACTTATAACGAGTACGATATTTCTGACGCGCGACTCGCGTCCTAGCACGCGCAGAGCATTATGTCGTCGCGATAGCACTCCTGTCAAGACCACTCTTCATTCACTTCGAGTGTCTACATGTGGTATGGTACATATTACCGCCAGTCGAGAAGCTGTTCCATCCTCGTGTAGAATGAATTAGTAGAGGTATTTTGAACGTCGCTGTATTTGTGGGAGTCATCACAGGGTATGCAATTAATTGATTGTTAGGATGGCACGCTCAGTTATTATACATTAACCTTTGGTCTATGGACCGTTTAGAACCATACAAATAGACTGTTGTATAAGTAACGAGCTCGCGATTTCATTAGAGACGAAATATTTTCAAAATAAGGAGTGAGTCTCGTATACAATGAGTAATACTTAAGTAACAAGTATTTAAGAGACTGTGTATTGGATAATTTACGACGTTGTCAGATTTGGAGAAGTCGGCACCATCATCACAGCTGCATCACAGTCCCGTATGGTGTACCGTGTTACATCTACAAGACAATGGCTAGTCACAAGTAATTTGTATCGTATAACTATATAATGAAATTACAAACTGAATTCACTCAATGAAAATATATCCTAATTCTGTATCAGAAATCTAGAATATGGCACGTTTTAACGCGAATCTTCCGCTCCATCCCCCTAATTAGCTGTTCGGACAACACTGGTAATTTATCTCCCTTATTGATTGGTAATCAATTTTCTTAC